TATATANAACACACACACACACACACACACACACACACATATATATATATATATATATATATATATACACACACACATATATATATATATATATATTCATTATTACAAATACATGCATGCGCAAATATATATTTACATATGTGCACATACATATATACGTGTGTGATAGCGTAGGTCCTCAGTAAAATGGGGCAGTACTGGCACATGGCGCGCACATTGTGCGAGCTTCTGCGTCATGTGATCGGATGGTTTCGATGGAATACACACCAATGAAACACCACAACTACGAATGTAGATACAAGTATGTGAGACTGCAAAATTTAAAAGAGCTTCCCCATAAAATAAAGAAATAGTAAAAATAGCCCGGGTACCCGGGGTCCCCCACTCTTGAGTGGGGATCCGAAAGGATGTAAGATAAGATCCATCCCTTCGGATCTACTATGCCCTCTCTCCCCGAGAGGGGTAATGGATAACCTCTCTCCCCTTATCTAGAGACATCTACCTCATAGGTAGGTACATTGTTACCCCACTCCTCCTTAAGATATAAGGGTAAGCTCCAATGCTCACACTGTATGTGGTGGTTGCTCCCTCAAGATTCTATTGTTTGCAGCATATTCTGTATATCACAAACGTATCACACATACGACTGCACAAAGACAAAACTACGATTAAAGTAGTTCATGTAGTATGTACAACACACTTACCCCACACACGACTACACTAAGACAAACACGCGATTAAATGAAGTGTATGTTAAGTATATGTAGTATGTACAACACATTTACACACGACTACACTCAGACAAGCATACGATTAAATGAAGTGTATGTATAGTTTATGTAGTATGTACAACACACCTACCACACACACGACTACACTCAGACAAGCATACGATTAAATGAAGTGTATGTATAGTTCATGTAGTATGTACAACTCATTTACCGCACACACGACTACACGCAGACAAGCATACGATTGAATGAAGTGTATGTATAGTTCATGTGGTATATACAACACACTTACCACGCTCACGACTACACTCAGATAAACATACAACTAAATGAAGTGTATGTATAGTTCATGTGGTATATACAACACACTTACCACACACAAGACTACACTCAGACAAACATACAATTGAATGAAGTGTATGTATAGCTCATGTGGTATATACAACACACCTACCACACACGACTACACTCGGATAAACATACGATTAAATGAAGTTTATGTATAGTTCATGTGGTATATACAACACACTTACCACACACACGACTACACTCAGACAAGCATACGAATAAATGAAGTGTGTGCTATCTATTGGGCGTGCAGGCTGGACTCGTGTTGAGCAAATGGTAACTATGGTAACAATCTAACAATCGCTACACAGACTGTCATACAATACAATCCCACACTTATGCAAACGCTTGTAGCTCATGCGTGAGAACATGCACGATCACATACACATCATCATACACACTCGCACATTCGCACAAACCACGTATACACCTGTACATATACTTCATAGAATATGCATCACTATATAACAACGTACGTACATCATAAAAACATATACACACCTACACATATACTTAGAGTATAAGTCTTAAATAATGGCGTGTATACATCACATAAACACATACACACCTATACACATACTACACAGAATACATGTCCCTGTATAAGAACGTACATACACCATATAACCACGTACACACCTACGTATACTACATAGAATACATATCCCTGTAAAATAACGTACATACACCATATAACCACCTACACACCTACACATATCCCACCACACTCACCCACACGTACCCGGAGGATCAAGCCTAGGCTTCTTGCGCATAGCTTCTAGATTAAGTTGAGCTTCTCTCATAAAGCCCTTTCCCTTAGTCACCGACTGTCGCCGCCTCTGTTCCGTGGGGTCTAGCTCTGCCGTGTGTGTACCAGCGGACGTGTGTGGGCGTTTGCGCGTTTCTTGGGTTGTGTTGGGTGTGTCTCCGGCCTTGTACGGATTGGGTTTGTCCGTGTGGAGTGGGTCTTGGGTTTTACGCACTGGTTTGACAGTAGGCTGTGGGACGGTGTCGGGGTTAGAGGGACGTGCGGGTGATATAGCGAATGGAGACGAACTCAAAACTGTCGGGCCCTCACGTGGGGTGCGTGTTTCCCCCACTTCAACTACCTTGATCTCAACATCCCTACTGGAACCACTAGTGCTATCATCGAATCTACCTACATTGCTGCTATTTTTAGAATCGTACCTATCTACTTTGCTACTCTGTGTAGCCTCGTAGTAACCACTTGCTATATTCTGCTGCATAGGCCTTATTGGTGCTTTTGGCTGGGGTTGTGGTTTGGTTCGTGGCGTGCGTTTAACCACATGCGCAAATGGGCAGTAGGGTCTATCACACAAGCCATGTTGGTAGAAGGGACATGCAGCCGATTCGAATCCTTTATTCGCGGGAAACATACTGAAAACACTGATACGCGTGTGCCAGTGTGTGTGTGTGTGTGTGTGTACACGTGAAGCAATATATATATCTGTAACGTACTGATCTGGGTATTCCTTAGCACTTTGAAGATCGTCCAGGTAGCGCACAAATAGCCTATTTATAGGTTGGCTCGAGTGACTATGCGAGAGAGCTTGTCATTAACAAAAATCTCAGCAAGTAATTAGATATACGTACATACGAGAAGTGTATATATCTAAAGACATTCACACTTGCGTGTGTGCATTCAATGGATGTATTTCTTAGAAATCAATATTTTGTCGAATTAATATCTGCCTCCAGAACCACAGAATGACCCAAGATCACGTGGCGAAATGTAGAAACATCCAATTTGAATACCACTATAGGTTTGACTACCGAATCAAAGGCATGGACTGTACATAGTTTTGTGAGGCTGTCGTTGTAGCATGTCTATGTCATAAATGAAGCAATCCATCCAAAAAGGGTCCTCATGGATTCACCTTCTGGAATCAAGTATGTTGAAAGTATTGCACCGTAGAGTGCATGTACTCCAATCTAAGTTTAATATAGAGTGGAATGGTGTGTGTGCTATTACTGCACGAACACACTCTTTGCAGTTGGTGTTTCGTGTGGCTCGAATGTATTCTCTATATTTCTGTTACAGACAGAAGGAGATGGTCGGCTGGTGTACTATTCATGCACGAACATACAGTAGTACTACATATGCAGCATGTACATGGTACGAACATGTGGTTTAAATAACCCCTTCTCTCTCTGTTTGACTTTGTTTTGCTTTTTTTATTTTGAACAATGTTGTCAGAAAAAAAAAACAGGAACAAAGACAAAGGCGGGATTTTTTTTCTTCAAAATGTCGAAAAGTATATAGAGCAAAAATACAAAATTAAGTTTTGGCGGGCCAGATTTAAGAATTTACTATTAGCGGATTGGTTTAAAGAAGATAATTTTGGAATTTAAAGTGATTATATTGGCCGTTGCAATAGATCTGTACACATGGCTTGTTGTACTGTAGGACAAAACATTTGCTCGGGCGTAAGATGATTTCATGATGGTATGGGGCATCTCGAGAGTGTGTATATGTATTTCTAGTCGTTGCTATAGATTAAAGCTAAATAGATACTACTTGGATACAGCCACTACATAGCTACATACAAGGTAAATACATAGCTACATACATAGCTACATACATAGCTACACACTTCATTATGGGTCGAATCAACGCAAATGACCGTCGTACTAAGCGTGCCGTGCGCAATGACAAGAAGGACCGAAAAGAGATTAGAGCAGCAACTAAAGAGGAGCTACAGGCCATGAGAGCGCAGGCAGAAGCTCAAGAGGAAAACTTGGACGATATTATTGCGGCGTATGAGAAGGAAGTGGCATCCAGAGAGAAGGTGAATGGTTTGTGGAAGTGCATGCATGTGATGATAGGTACGCAGTTAAGTACGCAGTATTTGGATATGTGCATATACACGACGCAGCTCAGGTATGAGCTCAAGAAGGTTTATTGATATTATCGCGGCATTTGATAAGGAAGTGGCGTCGAGAGGGAAGATAAGTGATATGAGAATAGTGTATGTATGTATATTCAATATGTATTTAAGACACACACACACATATATATATATATATATATATATATAAATATGTATATATATATATTATATTATATATATATATATATATATACATATATACATATATATATGTATATTCATGTAGATTACTACAAATACATATACATACATATATATATATATATATATATATCAATTTATATATATCAATTTTTATATATATATTTAAATATTTATATACTTACATATATATATATATATGCTTTAATACACACACACACTCACGCGAACACACACACACACACACACACACACACACACACATATATATATATATATGCTTTAATACATACACAAAAACATATATATATATATATATA